AAATTTGTAGTACTTTTAAAAACATTTATTTTAACTGATTTCTTTTATGTGCATTGATGTGAGGGTGTCAGATCCCATGGAACTGGAGTTAAAAAGCTGTGAGCTGGGTTCTGGGAATTGAACTTGGGTCCTCTCTAAGAGCAGCCAGTGCTGTTAACCATTGAGTCATTTCTCCAGCCCCTAAGTTTGGAGTACTTTTTAACATAGCCTTGGCTGGCCTGAAGCTTCCTCTGTAGACCAGGTTAACCTAGGACTCATAGAGATTCACCTGTCACAGCCTCCCCAGTTCTGGGGTCAGAGTCATATGCTACTGTACCCATCACCCAAATATTTTATTCTAGTATTTTAAAATTTTTCTGAGATGTTTACAATTTTCCTTGGCATATGTTTCTACATAATGACAATAATGCAAATTTGTTGTTTGGTTTTTGATTTTTTTTAGGATGATTATATTCCTTTGCTATATTTCTGGAGCACGTGCATTATAAATTCAAACTTTTCAAGCCTGTGATTCCAGCTCTGGAACAATCTGACATGCGCTTCTGACCTCTGCAGGCACCTGTACTCACAGACACAGACCCACAGAAAGGCACACACACACACACACATACAATTAAACCAATACAAATAATTTTAGAAAAACACCAACTCTGTTTCATAAAATGTCTATCCCCGAAATTCTTCTTGGCATCAAAGCTATGAATCTTGGTTTGGCCTGAATCAAAGGTCCCTGAAAATCTAGAGAAATGAGTCTCAATTGTAGGCTGTGACTTCTTTTGCAGGAGTTTTTGAATGTCTATATCACAGGGGTCACATATCAGATATCCTGCATAGCAATATTTACATTCTGATTCAGAACAATAGCAATACTACAGTAGTAATGAAATAAATTTATCATTGGCTGTCACCGCAGTATGATGAGCTGTCTTAATGGGGGACAGCATTAAGAAGGTTGAGAACCACTGACTGTGGACAGTGTGTCTCCAGCTCTCTCCATTCTGACTCTTGTCTCCCAGACATTCAGTCTCTGGATCTTTAGCACACAGAATCCTCTGTCCTGGCTCTGGTGCCTGCTTCGTAAATGATTTCCTCAAACTTCAGAGCTGCAGCAACATGGAGCTCACCACTCCAGAGGATCACCTCCCCTTTGTGTGGGTGCCAAGGCATGACATTTGCTGATGACAACCAGACCAAGTGGAACCGCCCCAAGCATAAACGGCATTTCTTCCCTCTCAATGTTTTCAGTTTCTTGTTGTAGCTGAAACTCAGCTTGTCAGCTCTGAGATGAGTGCTGCAGAGCCTGCAGAGGCTTTTGTGGGCATGTTCAGTACCACAGACAGACTGCAGGAAGGCGAGATCGGTATGTATTTAAGGCGTATTCTAATGGAACTACAAGAGCAGAGAGCTGCTTGTCAGGGAAGGGAATAGAAGCAGAGGGCAGAGGAGCTGAACCTCAGGACTGTGAGCCTGCCACAGGGGTTTCTGCAGAACCAGAAAACACAGACAGGAGTTTAGTTAGCTAAGAGGTTTTTATATTAGTTATTCTATTGGAACATATAATATTTCACACTTAAATAGTTCTCAAGCAAGAGAAATGAACAGTGAATTGCTATACAAGTGCCTTAGTGAAGGCTTTTCTTTTCTCTTTTCTTTTCTTCTCTCTCTCTCTCTCTCCCTCTCCCTCTCCTCCCTCTCCCTTTTCTCCCTCTCCCTTTTCTCCCTCTCCCTCTCCCCCTCCCCCTCCCCCTCCCCTCCCCCTCCCTCTCCCTCTCCCTCTTCCTCTCTCACTTCTCCCTCTCTCTCACTCTTCCTCTCCTCCCTCTCGTTCTCGTTCTTTGTTCTTAGCTTGCTAGTCCACTCTTTTCTCAGGGATCTGATAAATTACACTTTGGTGAATAACACCAAGTCCCTGTGGAAAATGCTTGCTCTTTAAGTCCCACAGCAAAGGCAAATTCAAACAAAGGCTTTACATTGTGCAGAGTGACAGGAGGTGCCTGAGAAGCTGGAGCTTTTGCTTTGCAGATCCATTGTGATGGAAAAGGATGTAAAGAGGAGGCTGGAGGCCTGGGGTCCAGGCTGACCCCACCTTCTGCATTTTGAGCTCCTAGTAAATTATACTAGGGAATAAAATGGGTTGTCTACTTTAGTCTTCAGAAAGAAAGCGAATTTGTGTTTATTGCATTTTGAAAATGTCTATGCTTCATTATATTTTACTCTTTTATATTCTTTTTTTTCTTCATCCCTGTCCCTTCACCTTAATATTTTTCTTCTAGGAAAAACTATGGGATTTTGGCAAAGCAAAACTGGTATTTACCAAAATATAAAATTAATGACAAAATATTAACACTTATCACTTAAGCCGAGTATTCTCCTAACTGAAACTATATTATTAGCACTATTATTATTATTATTATGTTGTTGTTGTTGTTTGTTGCTGCTGCTGCTGTTGCTGCTGCTTCTGTCTGCTGCTGATTGACTAATTCTTTGAGACAGTCTCATACTTTATTCCAACTGTCTGATAACCCCTGTTCCCTTTGACCCAGCAAGGTTGACTTTTGAAAACAAATACTTACCCAATAGGAACACACCTGTTATGAATGTGTAGCTTCTGTCCAAAGGATGAATGTTGTGCAACTGGAGGCATTTCGCAACTTGTAACTTATCTCTTGTCTCTCATTTGAAACCATAGCTGGTTCTGTGAGTGAAGCAGGCTTTTTGTTTTGTTGTAATTTGTTTTGTTTTTCAAGAAAGGGTTTCCTGTTTGGTCAAAAGCTTCCTAGCTTCCTAACACCACTTTATACAAAGAATCTGGAAAGTTATAATGGGGGCCTCACCCCAGTCCCTGGCACTCATCTTTGAAATACTGGGCAGAAACTCCATTTCAAGCTCCATCCCCTGGGAGTTGCCTTAGTCCAAACTCCACCTCTGAGAAAGCTTGCCAAGAATTACCCCTCCACAGGGCATGTCACTGAGGCCTGCCAAATGGTAACTCCTCCCAGGGGAAGGTCGAGACCACGCCCACAGGCTACTTAAACTGCCCCCTAGAGACTACACATGGTCTCCACTTCTCAATCTCCCCTTGTCATGTTTTCTTGGTGCCACTAGGGAGCACTGCATTCAATATTGGCGTTTTTTATTTGGTCTGATTTGGTCTGATTGTACTTATTTGCTTTCACGGAGAGGCTCATCCAAGAAATATTCCTAACATTTCCCTGTGTAGCCCTGGCTGCACTGGAACTCACTCTTATAGACCAGGCTGGTCTCAAATGCAGGTATCTGACTACCTGCCTCTGCCTCCTGAATATTAAAGATTCCTGGCACTTAAAAAAAAAAAATAAACTAAAAACTAGATCAGCAATGTTTCATTACTTTGTTTTTTGAGAGATCATTTCTAATATTGTTTCCTAATAAGACACAAAAGCTATGTTACAACTGTGCTATGGAATGCGTTAGGTTTTAGAAAGAGATGCATGTATATACAGTTTGAGAAAGTTGGACAAAAAATTGCCATTTATGTATCAAAATGAAAGAGGCTGTATCATTTTATATCACTGGAAATACAGAGGATGACCAGTAAATCTTGATGTTGATATCATATATGAAATGTCTGGTGTGAAATCCTGTTTGAACTCAGGGAAAGGAAAAAGTTACACCATTTATGTACCAAGATGAAACACACAGTATTAGATTTTATTCAACTGTAAATATGAACAACTATCAGTAAATCTTGCTGTTGATAATGTATATGAAATATCTGGTGCGAAATCCTACTGGAACCTGGGTGATTAGATGCTTGAAATCTCTACTAGAAGACATATCAGGTATTGTTCTTTAGCACAATCCCAAACTTTATAGTTTGGTTCTCTTTTTCTTTTTTGTCTTCCTTTTATTTTTTTTAATTGACATTTTACACTTACCACACACTTTTATTGTTTCCTTAAGATGACTATATTTAGAAACTCCCTCAGCTATTTTTAGGAACACTATACATTATTGTGAACTATATCCTACTATGCCTTTGATGCCAGAGCTGATACCTCTTTGTAGGAAATATTGCCTCTTTCCTCTTTACTCTCCCAAGACCTGTAAGAGATATTAATACCCGTGTATGTTTTGTGACATTATTCATAATAACCAGCCCATGGAACCCACCTTCATCTATCAGTGAATAAATGGGGAAAATTGTGACATATACAAAAGAGAAGATGAGATGATACCTTTTGTGACAGCATGCATAGACCTGAGTGACATGCTGAGTAAAATTAATCAGGCACAGAGGGCATAACACTGCTTGACAGTTAGATGGAATGGCTAAGAGTATGGACTATTAATTCAGAATTTGGCAGAGATTTTAAGTACACTTCTATACTCAACAATCATAGGTAAGTGTAGACATTTCAAGTTTGAAGGTGCTTAGAAATCTGATTATTTTTTTAAAGAAGTAATCTTGGGAATGGGGTGACAAGAGGAATAGAAAAATGATGAAAATTGACTTCCCACATGCTGACCAGTGTTGGTAGTGAGTACATGAGAATTTAACATATTTTTCTTTATTTTTGTATAGATTTGCAATTCCCAATAATAAATGTCTTGTTTTCAAATGTTAAAAAATAGAAGAGAAGAAAAGAAAAGATGAGAAATGACTTACAGATGAACTGACCTTCAGAAGAACAGTGAAACAAATGGGTCTTTATTGGGAGACATTAAAGGACACTTTGAATATCACCTTAATAGAAAGAAAAAAAGACGAAATCATGATAATTGAGTTTCTAAAGAAATTTTCTGTTGGTGAAGGCAACTTCTTCACTTCCTGTTTGTTCAGACTCTGAAATAATCATGCAGAAACTTTATTATTTAAATTACTGCTTGCACTACTAAATCTAGTTTCTTATTGGCTAGCTCTTACATCTTAAATTAACCCATTTCTATTAATCTGTATATCGTCACATGGCTGTGGTTTACTAGCAAGATTCTGTTGCATTTGTCTCCTGCAACAAAGGTCTACATGAGTGTTGCAACTCTACCTTCTTTTTCCTAGCACTCAGTTTAATTTTCCTTCCTAGCTCTAGCCTGTAAAGACTCTGGCTGAAACAGGTTTATTCATTAACCAATTAAAGCAACACATAGACAGAATTTTTATCTAATATGAACAACAAAATATGAATGTTGAGAGTTTTGTATGTAGTCAAAATCCAAAGGACATTATATAATGCTTACCACCCTCAAATCCTAAGCATTGTCTTTCTTGTTAGTTGAAGTATCAGTCCTCTTAAGACTTGGACATGTATTCTTGTGTCAGACATATGCTCACGTCTCCATCACAGTGAAATAAAGATTTATAACTCCACTCAAATTCCTCTGAGGCACATTGCAGATTCTTCCCAGACAGTCCTTTCTGATATTTGTTTTTCCAGACATTTGCTGTTGTCATGGATCCTACAGACTGGTAGTCATCCACATGTGTTACTTGTGTGTCAAGTATAAACAGTTGACCTCAGAGTTATGTTCCAAGCACCACTGATCCACAAACAGTTCTGAATTTAGAACTTTGAAAGCAGCTTGAAATACATTAGCTTTTATTTTGCAGAAGGTTAAGAAAAGCCAACAGGAACACTGGTAGATTAGATTAGCTAAAGCAGAAACAATGTAGTGATGTTTGGAAAGACATAAATAAACCCCACACAGCTTTGTTATCCAATTCTCAAGATTGGCAGCAGGACAACTGTCTCAGAGCTCACTACTCTAGAGCTCTGGAGGATCTAAGCCCAAGGAACACTTAGGAACAGTAAGAGAGATGGTCAGGCACAAGCATATGCTCCAAGTTTTCCTTTAGAATGCCCCATCAACAGTGTTCAGTAATATTGATTTACATTGTCAAAGCTAGAGAATATTTGGCTTGATTCCAGATGTGATTTTTAAAAAGTATTTTATATTTTTTCTAAGATTCTCGAAAGTTACTGTCAATATTTATATGTAGATTTTATTTTTTAGTGAAAATATGGGTTTTTATTTTTCTTGGGGGAATATGTGACTAGCAGTGCCATGGCCTTATAGTAAGTGTATTCTCATTTATATAAACTGATGATCTATTTCCAGTTGTCTTTTCTCAAACCTGATCATGCTGAACATATTTAATACATGAACGTTGTTGGCCAGTATTCAAGTCTTTGGTCCATTTTTATTCTCTCTCTCTCTCTCTCTCTCTCTCTCTCTCTCTCTCTCTCTCTCTCTTAAAACAATAAGTTCTCACAACTCTCAGAATACAACTCCTTTTTGATCTATGTCCTGCAAATATTGTTTTTTGAATTCCCTTTGAAAGACTCAGAAAAGAGGGATTTTTAAAATTAGGCCAAAATTCAAATGTTCCATATTCTATAATGTGGATTGGGATTTTGGTATTATACCCGAGACACTTTTATTCACCACTAGGTCACAGGGGATTTTTTTTTCACTCTTTTTCTCAAATAGTTTTATGGTCCTAGGCTTCATACTTGGGTAGCATTTTATAGAAGGTAGGAGAAGTGAGTTTTAGTATGTGATACAGATTGCCTCAGAGGCTAGGCAGAAGCCAAAACATACTCAAATCTTTGTTTCTGCCCCTCTATGATTAGGTGGTGTCATTTCTGAAAATTTGACCTCTTGATTTTTCTAAGTTGCTCAGCTAGACTAATTCTTTTGTATTTTCATACAATTTGAAGGTTATCTTGTGCTGGATGGCTAAACATGGTTAAAGGCACTGGCTTCTTTTGCAGGGACCCAGATTTAGTCTCTTGTACTTTCATGGCCACCACAACTTTTGTAACTCCATTTCCAAGGAATTCAGTACACTTTTCTGGTTTCCTTTTGGATCAGGCATGCACATCATGCACAGACATAAAATGAGTCTTTCTTTGTCCCTCCACCTTCCAAATGATGACATAGAAACTTCTTATTAGTTATGAAAGTTTGGCCTTAGTTTAGGCTTTTTTTTTATAAAAGAAAAACATTTATTTGGCCTTAGTTTAGGCTTCTTTTGAACTTGATCTTAGAACTTAAATTTACCCATTTCTAATAACCTATGTTTTGCATTGTAGTTTTTTTTTTTACCTTGCTTTCATTCTGTATGTTCAACACTTTCAGTGTCTCTTTGACATCTCGATTTTTCTTCCTCTCCAAGGAAATCCCACCTATCTCGCCTACATAGTTATTGACCTTTCAGCTCTTTATTAAACCAATCAGAAAGTGCCTCGGCAGAGACACATCTTCACGGTGTACAAATATTCTGTAACATAGACATATATGCAGGCAAATCAACCATATGCATAAAATAAAAAATAAATTTCATAAGAATGACAGACCTTGCTTATTTCTTTGAAATGGCCTATAACCATAAATGTGTTGGAAAGAAGTCCTTCAACTACTAGCCTGCTGAGAGCTTTTGTTATTTTGTGCTAATATTAATTTATTTCATGCAATATTGAAAATTTCTTAAAATGTTCCCATATTTCACCCATTAATGATGTCAATGTGTTCTATTATATTTAAGTGTGTTTACTAATTTATTTACTCACTTGGTTCTAATGTGCTCTGTTATATTATGGATGTGTTTACTAATTTATTTACCTCCTCGGTTTTTGAAACTTATCCAGGTTGGCCTCAAACATCCTTTGTAGCCTGATGTGGGAGTGTCATATATCAATCTGTTGATTTCATTGGTTAAGTTATAATAAACCAACTGCTTGGCCTCAGCTTAGAACATAGATGGGAGGAGTAAACAGAATAGAATTCTGGGCAGAAGAGGAAGTGAGGTCAGACTCTGCTCTGCTCCCAGAGAGACGCCATGCTCAGCTCTCCTGGGTAGACACAACGATGGATGGAGGCTAGAATCTTCCCGGTAAGCGCACCTTGGGGTGCTTACACACATTATTAGAAATGGGCTAGTCCAGGTGCGAGAATTAGCCTGTAAGGGCTAGAGTTCATGGGCCAAGCAGTTCTTAAATGAATACAGTTTGCGTGTTGTTATTTCGGGCATGAGCTAGGCAAGCGGCCGGGGTGTTGGGGACGCAGCCCTGCCGCCCTTATTTCAACAGTAGCCAAGGCTGGTCTCATACCCATGGCTCTCCAACTTCTGCATCTCTAGCACGAGAACTGGAGAAGTGTACCCACATATCTGTCTTGTTGACTAGAAGGGGAGTTATACAGACAGTCATTAGCTGTCCCATGTGGAAGATGGGAGCCAAACTTGGGTCCTCTATAAGAGCAACAACTTTTCTAATTTCTCAGTTGTCTATATCTCCAGCCTCTTGCTGATTCCTGCCACCTCCAACCCCCACAATGTTTCCCTCTGTCCTAACCAGTCTATTCTTAAGAAACTAACTGCACAGGTAATTTTTTTCTTGTTGTTGTTGTATCTTTTTCATCCTGGTCTCCACTCTTTCTGTTTCTAATCAGTTTAATGGCTTTTAGTTCAATAACTGGAGGACTTCATAGTGACACTTCTGCTTTTCTTTCTTCAACTTTTCTGTGAGCCATAAACATCATTTCCAGATCAGGACATTATGTGAAGGGTGTTTGCAGAGAAGGAGTACAAGCCAAATTAACAGATGATTCTGAGTAAATACAGATTTTTCCATGAAAGATTCTTGAGATTGATATTTTTATATTTTTCAGGTAAAAGGCTCCAAGGAAAATGTTTCAAAATTGTCTCCCCCGTGTCTCCTGCTAGGCTTCACTGCTGCTATGCAGTGATCATCTTCCTCACTGTAGCTGTAATTGGTCTTTCTGTTGCTCTGTCATTTCCAGGTGAGTGACATTCTCCAGATCCTGCAGCGTTCTGTCCACATCCACACTGTCAGTTACACTTTCTGAGCACTGTGAGCCAGGCAATGTGTGAGGGGAAGGAGAGAGGACGCAGTGGAAATTCCTGTTCTCTGGGAGCTTAGGTTTTAGCAGAAAGGTGCAATGAATGATCAGCACAGACTTTGGTGTGCACAGGAGGCCAGGCTCAGCATCCCTGAGAAAATGGCACTGAGCAACCTCTCCACAGATGCAGGAGACATTGGTCTACCATGGGGAACTATTCAAAATAGAAAACAAGGCGAGCAATACCCAAAGAAGGAAGATCAAGGAACTGTGAGGACAGAGAAAAGAACTATGTCCAGGATAATACAGCACCTTCTCCCGTGACCCATGGAGTTAGTTTCCATGTTCAACTATATTTTGATAGTATTCAATGAAAGGTTTTTGAAGTGATCAATTTATAGAATTTTAGAGCTACACTGTTCAGAATAGTGTAATAAGAGACTTGTACTGTTGCCATCTGGCAGGGGGGTACTTTCCCTCTTGACTGGTTGGCCACCAAGTTGATAGGGGGAAAATTAAGAAGGGGTGACAGAAATTTTTTTATACAGTCCATGACAACAGATGAAGAGAGGCCTCTGGGAGACAGACTTAATGGATCAGCTAAAGTTTATTCCAAAGTATAAGGAATTTAAAGGATTAAGAAGACTGGGGACAAACTGTAGACTTGGTTTGTGCCTGTAGGGTTCTTTAGAATAGACTTTCTCACATAAGACTTCTTAGCATGGTTCTGTATTAAGGGCAACTAAGGATGAATCAAGCCTCTGGTATTAAAACAGGTATCTGGTTCAGAGACAGCTTTCAGATAACATCAGTCCTCCAGGCCCAGGGACATCCTCTAGATGAGGCTAAACAGAGAGCAGGAAGCTTTGTTGGGGAAGGAGGAATTTCTTTATTGTCAAGCTTAGAGAGAAAGCTGCTAGCCTATGGCAGACTGTGACCTTTAATGAGTCAGTATGTATTCCAACATCTTGAGCAATCTCTTAGTGTAACAGATCCACACTGTATATACTGCCTTCCCAATAGTCCTCCTGGTTATCTAAGTTATCAGGCTGACTGTCAAAGTAGGTGTCCATACATGGTGCTTGTTGCTCTAGCAGCCCAACTGTAGTGAACAATCATAAAGCACAAAAAGTGATAATGTTATAAAAACTCAGTTCCTGTGCCCCTGTTGTCAGTGAGTACCTGAGAGAGATTGGGGTACAGGCCTGAGATGGGATGCCTTTAGCTAAAGGGCCATTATCCTAAGGAGAAGACCCCTCCAGATCAGTTAGGAAGACTATAGTCAAAATCACACCTCACATCTGAGCTCAGTAGGCTATGTCAATTCTTGTTATAACTCATTTTATTGTCTAAATTTTAGGAGAAAAGCCAGAACAGGTCTCAGCCAAAAATACCTATGCTGTTTGCCCAAGAAACTGGATTGGATTTGGGAGTAAATGTTTTTATTTTTCTGAAGACACAAGCAACTGGACATTCAGTTGGAATTTCTGCATGAAACTAAAGGCACAGTTAGCTAAATTTGACAACATGGAGGAACTGGTAAGAAAGGATCAATAGTGATTTGTTTTTTTCTATTGAATATGTCTTGCCTTGAGATAGACTGGTAAAAGATGAAGCATGCGGAAGGATCACCCTTTGCAGATGGAGACATGGAGAACACATGATTGTGTGCCATATACTGATGATAATAATCCTGATTGGAGTCCTCAGACATTCATGAAACATTTTCTCATGTAGTTCTCATAGTCAACCTGGAGGGTCTGATATGCCACTTTACTGAGATATCTGCGGGTGATGAGCATTTTTCTCCAAGCTAACAAAGGCTGCATCCTGAAGGTGACAATTGTTAATAACTGCAAGGGCAGGCTTAACCGGGAACTCACCTAGCCATGAAGAATATGTCGTTACACTTGGTACTTTAATTCAAATGAGGTACTTAAGAATTATGACTCTAAACTGGTTCCACTGAGAACTGAGGGCTATTATGGCTCCAAAGTCTGTGTCCCTCACTTATACTCTCCTGCTGTCTAAAGAGAAAGCTGGGGGTTGGGGGACACTCAAGAGTCATCTGAAACAGAGAGACACATAGTTTTGCTTTCCATGTTTCATGACAGAATTTCCTGAGGAGATACAAAGGGACCTTTGACTACTGGATCGGCCTACACAGAGAGTCATCACAGCACCCTTGGATGTGGATGGACAACACAGAATATAACAGCTCGTATGTTTTCAAACCACTTTCCTTCTACTGTGATCATTTGTTATGAAGTGTGTGAGTTGTGTCTATTAGAGAGGAATGGCTGTGTCATGTGAAGCCAGCTGCACTGCCTTGGAGGTATATTGGCCATCATTTTCAAAACCTTTGCTTAGTGTGATTTTCCTCAAATTTTTTAGCATGATGATGGCATTTAGGGTAGCTATTGTCTTCTCCATCACTAATTTAAATTTCTTTGTTGTTGATAAATGTCCTGTGTGGAATGTAGAAATAACCTTAGAAGGGCAATGAAAGCCCTGAGACTTCAGGAAGCTAATGTATAAGAACAAGCCTGAGACCCATCAGTCCACCATGTGTCTGGCTGTACCTGTTCACAGAAGCAGAGGTTTCACATCCTTGAAAACCTCCTTTTAAATCTAACTAGAGAGCACCCAAGACAATTTTTAATATGAGCATAGATGCTTTGAATGGAGCCATTATAGACCCAGTCTTGTCCATTATTAAAGTCCATTCAGAAATTTACTAAGAAGTGGTTTTTCCCATATGTGAAATGCTTCAAAACAGAATTGGAAATCATGCTCAGAGATGCCACCTATGGCTGTAGTTCATTTGAACTGGGAGCAAGCACTAGTTAAATTCTTTGTACACAAATTGAAGGGTTGGTTCAACTTGGATGAATGTCAAAGGTACTGTGTTCAAATCAAATCCTGAGAATGAAAAAGACAATAGGCACAAAACTAGTGCAGATGATTCTCTTGGACTCTGCCTTTGATCATATTACAAATAAGTACTAGAGACAGACAAGATTTCACTGAGGAGCAAATGCAGTTCTGGGTTCTGCAGATTTACTGTTCTTGGTTTATTTTCAGGGTTCCCATCCGAGGAGTGGAAGACTATGCCTACCTGAACAACAACGGGATCAGCACTGCCAGGATCTATGCAGACAGAAGATGGATCTGTAGCAAGCCCAACAGCTATATCCTCGAATGTCAAATTCCTTTTTCCTCTTTCTAGTCTTTGTAAAGAGATGCTTTGCAACCTAATATCTACAGTTGCTGCTCTAACCCCTGTTTGCCAACATTGTTATCAAAATGAATTGGCTGCCAACTGGGTCACAGGAGCATTTAGGCATCATGCAGTCTCCCTGATGACAATAGGTCCGAGAGCGCTCCTGGGACAGCAAGTATTTGGCAAGAGGTGGTCTGTGTCCTACAGGATCAAACATTCAGCCAAGATTTAAATCTTCACATAACACAGAGAAGCATATCCATCTAATAAAAAAAAAGAATTGAGAATATTTCTTTACATCCAAATGATAAACATATTGAAGAACTGCACAACCAAGGGTTTAGAAGAACATAGATTAGATTGAAATACTCGTTGGCACTCATACCTTAAGCTAAAAGTACAATTAATGTTAGTGAACTACTTTTATGAAATGAAGTTTTTGTTCAGATAGTCCTCCTTTTAAATTTATTGCAATTGCCCTTGGACTTTAATAATTAAAAAACAACTGGACAGTGATGATACATGCCTTTAACCCCAGCACTCAGGAGGCAGAGGCAGGTGGATCTCTGTGAGTTTGAGACCAGCCTGGTCTTCAGAGCTGTTCTAAGAGAGATAGGGTTGTTACCCAGAGAAATTCTGTATCAAAAACCAAAACAAAAAAACTAAAAAAATTTAAAAAAAAAAGAAGGAAAGAAAAGCAGCAGGGAATAGTGTCAAAAGTCTTTAATTCCAGCACTCAGGAGCCATAAGCAGGTGAATCTCTGTGAGTTCGAAGCCAGCTTGGTTTACAAATTAAGTTCTAGGATGGCCAAAACTACACTTAGGTATCCCGTTTCAGGGGGAAAAAAAGAAAAAGAAGAAATGAAAAGCAGAAGGGCTGGTGTTTTTAGAAAACTACTTGTGTTTTCCAAAAAGTAAAAGCATGTACTCCCAAATCCAATCCAGTTACTTAGGCAAGCAGAATGGGTATTTTTGATTGGGACCTATAATTAAGTACATCTGTAACTCCAGGTACTTAAGGGTTGAAACAGGAGGGTCACACGTAGGATCTGAAAGAATGAGAATACTAATGATAAGGAAGATGAGAATCCATTTGAGCATCCTGTAATTTGGGGACACACACTACATATTCTTTTCAAAAGTCGTTCCAACATGCCAAAGAATTTAAAAAGTATTTAACACTAAGATTTACTTCATACTTTCCAATTTAAAACATTAAGGACATTGTCAAATTGTTCCTCTATTTTAGTTTTCAATGTTTCTGTTTTCAATTATTCTCTTCTAAGTACGTCTTAAAAACAAATGCCATTTTGTTTAATGGTTTGCTTGGATTTATTTCACATCAAAGGGGACTTACACTCCTCAGGCATTCAAGACTTAATCTCTCAGTAGTGTGTGTACTATTGGCTCCTTAAAATCAAGGTATTTAAAATCTTTGTAGAGCAGCTACACTGTACTGATGAGTCCCAAAAAGGACGAAATAGCAGGTTGCGAAGCATCTCTCGAAATCTTCATCTCCTCCTTTCCTCCATGTTCTATTCAAAAAATACTTTTATATCTACTTCTTTTTGTATTTATTACTTGTGCTTAAGGATGTGTGTGTGTGTGTGTGTGTGTGTGTGTGTGTGTGTGTGTGTACTGCCTGGACTGACACAGCTCAGAAGGAGTGAGCTCTCCAGAACTAAGTGATAAATGTGCACCACCTGAGCTGATCTGAGAGATCAGAAGGCATCATCACCCCGAAACTGGGCATGTAAACTCATGTTGGTTTTGTGCACCACCTGAGCTGATCTGAGAGATCAGAAGGCATCATCACCCCGAAACTGGGCATGTAAACTCATGTTGGTTTTGGGAATGGATCAATGGGGAGAGCACAGACAATGATGGGTAGTGCCATTCCCTGGACTGGTGGAACTGGGTGGGTTCTATAAAAAAAAAAAAAAAAAAAAAAAAAAA